GCCGCGCCTGCGCCCTCGCCGGAACCACGCTGACGGCGATGGGCCTAACGGAGGAAGCCGATCTTGGTGGTCATGAGCGGCCGCGTGGCGCTGCGCTCTATCGCCGTGGTGATGTCGATCAGGACTTCGAGCGCCTCGTCGCACAGCTCGTCCAGCTGCCGCGGCCCCGCGGCACTGAAGGGCGCGCCCGTGGTGGCCTCGACGGCGCGCCGCACCTTGCGCGGCTCCTGGACTGATGGCATCGGCGGCCTATCGCCCAAGTCAATGGGCCAGTGCAGCTTGGCCTGCCCGCAGGTGGTCCTCCACCAACGGCTCCACTCCACCTCGAGCTCCGTGGCCTGCTGGCCGAGGTCGAGCGGCTCGAACAACTGGTTCTCGCTGTGCACGTGGTCGTCGGGCTCGGCGTTGCCAATCGGGCTCTCGTCGAACCCCAGCGGTAGCCGCGTGATGGCGTGGGGGCCACCACCTCCACCTGCTGCCTGCATCTCGATCCACTGCTGGAAATTGGTGGTGCGCTGAGACATGTCGCGCTCAGCCGGCGCCAGCGCGACCGCGTGCGCCCCGTCGCGCAGCTGCCGCAGCGCCGCGGGCGCCAGTCGCGCCGGGCGCAAGTGGCTAAGCAGCATCCACCACGCCACAGCTTGGGGCAGCGCCAGAGGGCAGGACATAACCTCACCGTCATCAGGTGTCGCCTTGACTGTGGCGGGAGCTCTGTCTAGCAGCCTGCGCGCACCTCGAAGGGCATCGAGACGCGCGAAGGGCGGCTCCACGGCGGCGGCGTCGAGCAGCACATTGGAGATGCGGTGCGCCCGCGTCGCCTGGGCTGACGCGCGCGGCCAGCGCGCGCCCAGCGCGGGCGGCCGACGGCGCCGGCGCGGCCTGGCTGGCCGCGCCCGCCCCTTGTGCTTCAGCCTGTCCTCCTCCACCTGGTAGACGTCGATCCACTCGTCCTCGGCCGCGTCGATGAAATACTGCCGCGCAGCAGGTGGTCCTTCCTGCCGTCGCCGCTGCTGTCTTGGCCTCGCGTGGGGCGGTCGCGTGGCTGTCCCGGGCTCGGGGGCGGGACTGCGGGGTGCTCCGGGAGCCGCTCCCCGCCCACGGTGCCCCTCCGGCAACGGCGCGCTCTTCCAGCCTCGCGCCGCTGGCGGCCCTAGGGCCCGCGGCGCTCGGGGGCCCCGCAGGCGCCGCGGGAGACACGTCGCCCAGCTCTCCAGCTGCGGCATCACCAGCTCCAGCGCCCCGTGGCGACGCAGCCCTGCCCCCCTCGCTGGTAACTTCGCGGGCGCGCCTGGGGGTAGGCTCCGGCGAGGAATTTGGCAACTGGGCCCAGCCCCTCGCGCTGATTACCTCGTGGGTGCACCTCGCCTGGGGGCTGGGTCTTTCGTTCTAGCATCCGACGGCGTCAGCGCCTCCTGCTCCGCGTTCTGACAGTCGGGCCCCTGCGTGCCAGCTAGCGCGCTCTGCAACTTCTCGCTCGCTCCCCGCCGGCGCTCGCCGTGATCGACGCGGGCGCAGCTGGCAGGCCTCATGGCAAGGAAGGCCTCGGGCACCTCGATGGCCCTGACCCACGGCCTTTGGCGAGACGCCTCCATCTCCAGGATGGCGGCCTTGCGCGGGCAGGCGGGGGAGCCGCTCGCCGCGCGGATATTGGCCACCTTCAACCCGCGCGACGCGATGAACATGTCGATCGTCCGCTTCGACTGCGCGCGCGCGCGTGCTCCAGCGTAACTATCCGCGACGACGCCGTCGAAGAGCTTCAGCGCGCCGGACTTCGCGAGCTCTTGCTTGAAGTCGCCCCCGACCACGCACGGGCGCCCAAACTCGCGCAGCCTGCGGGCCAGGTCGCGCAGCGCCTAGTAGTTGAGGCGTCGGCGCCGACGCCTGGCTGCAGCTAAACGTTGGCCAGCGCGACGCCACCGCGCGACGGCTCTAAATGATGCGGCACATGCGCCCGCCCTTCTCGCAGGACAGGAGGCCGCGAACCCAGCGCGGCGGCCAGCCCGCGCTCGCTGCGCACACGCTCGTGAGCAGCCCACCTGGCGCAAGCCCTCCAGCCTGCGGGGGGTAGCAGCGGCTCCGCAAGCACGGAAACCCCGACGACGCACCCCGTCTTCAGCATCAGTCGTGCGTGCTTCCCCCAGCCGCGTTTCTTGAAACAGCGCGACGTCGCAGCCGCCCAGCTCCTCGATCACGCACTTGTCGACGGTCGAAGAGGGTTCATATTCAGCGACGCGATGCTCCATCTTCAGCATCCCCAAGCGCGGCTTCTTTGCCTCGACCTCGGCGTCTTGCCTCTGCTTGAGGTGGGTTTGGAACTCCTCCAGGAACTTGCGTTTCTCAGCGTCCGACCCAGCGAACTCTGAGGCTGCGGCCTGGAAGGGCTCGCCCGTGGCGAAGCCGAACGGGTCGCTCTCGAGGTCCATGTCGTCGTCGTCGCCAGCGGGCTTCCCGACGCCACCTCGCGCCTCAGCACCAGCGCCTCCGCCGGCGCGCTGAGCGGCCCCGCGAGCTCGCCGAGCTCGACGCCCTGCATGCTGCTCTCGACCTTCTTCGCCAGCTCGGCCTGGTTGGCCAAGTCGCTCGACGGCAAGGTGGCGGGCTTGGGCCCGGACTCGGTGGCGAGCGCGAGCTTGGCCTTGGACGCCGCCATTCCCAGGTCCTCTTGCAGCTTGTCGACCTTTTCCTTCTGCGAGAATGCAGCCTGCAGTGCCTCGGCCGCCTGCTTCTGTTTCTTCTCGTAATCCACCTTGGCCTGCTGCAGGCGCTTGCAAGCCTCGTCCGCAGCGGCCTGCGCCGTCTTGACGCTCTTGACGACGGAGAGCTGGCCGAGCTGCTGCTGCAGCAGGAACCTCGACTGCCGCAAACTGTGCTTATCACTGGCGGCAAGCGTGACGGACAGCAGCTCGAAGTCGCTCTCGCTGAGGACCAGGAAGCGCTCGCGGGCCTCGGGCGAGAGCTTGGGCGGCTGCGCCCCAGAGCCCCCGCCGCCTCCACGCTGAGGCCTCTGCGCGGTGCGCCAAGGGTGGTCGCCGCCATCGTCGTGCGCCCACGCGCCACGCGGAGGAGGGTGATCGCGAGCAGCAGGCACACCGCGTAGCGTCGGCCGACAGCCCACGCACCCCGTCTGCCGAAATTTGGCGCGCCAGCCCAGGCTCTTGTAGTAGCAGCGGTTGCAGCGCCAACTCGTCCCCTGAGCCGACGCACCCGCTGGCCCAGCGCCGCCGCCGCCGCGAAGAAAAAGAGGCGCCATGCGGGCTGAGCAATTGAAGAATGGCCGCGGACTGGCGGTATCCACGTCGTTTCCGCGGAAACGAGCATCTTGAACCAAAATGGCTACGGAGGAGGAGGAGGGGGAGGAGGAGGAGGAGGAGGAGGAGGAGGAGGAGGAGGAGGAGGAGGAGGAGGAGGGGGAGGAGAGAGGAGGAGGAGATGGAGGAAGGTAGGAGGAGGAGGGGAGGGGGAGGAGGAGGGCAAGAGGAGGAGAAGGGCAGGAGGAGGTGGAGGAGGAGGAGGAAGAGGAGGAGGGGGAGGAGGAGGAGAGAGGAAGGAGGAGGAGGAGGAGAAGGAGGAGGGAGGGGAGGAGGAGAGGAGGAAGGAGGAGGAGGGGGAGGAAGAGGGGGGGGAGGAGGAGGAGCAGGATGAGGAGGATGAGGAGGAGGAGGAGGACCACGAGGGATGAGGGGAGGAGGTGGAGGAGGTGGAGGAGGAGGAGGAGGAGGAGGTGGAGGAGGAGGAGGAAGAGGGGGAGGATGCGGAGGAGGACGATGCGGAGGAGGAAGCGACGCGAAGCGTACGCCGCAGTCTTGCGCGCTCCTCCGGAGAGCCCGCCCGTGCCCGTTAATGCATGTCGTGAAGGCCGTGGCCTCGAACATTTGAGACGCAGGCGGACCATCGTGGGAACCACGATTCAGTTTTCCAGGCCGAGGGAGAGGAGGAAGAGGAGGAGGAGGAGGAGGAGGAGGAGGAGGAGGAGGAGGAGGAGGAGGCCCAACGCCTCAGAAGAAAAGTCCAGGGTGCCCATCGCTGCCGCAGGTCGGAATACTGCGCTCTGAGCTGAGCCGCGAGCCACGCGCAATGTCACGCGCAAGGGCCGTGTACGGGAGGAGGGGGAGAAGGAGCCTGTTCGCTCGCACGCGGCTCACATACAAACCTGATCACAGCATTTGATCCAACACTCAAGATCGGCCCACGCATGCCACTGTGAACCAGCCTGGGCATCACTCCAGGATTTTTTCCAGACCATGCCTGGCCGCTGGCAAATAGGACGTCCTGCCAGAAACACATAGGCTCCCATTTCTGGCGACCTTTGGTCAACCACTCGGGCCTAGAGGGGGCTGTTTAGGACGGTCTTCCTCCCGCCCCATGCACAGCAGAAGAGTCGTTGAGATCCAAGTTTACTCAGAACTTCGCTGTAAGCAAATCATGCTCTAGCTTACCTCCGAGTGCTATTTTTTCCTTTGCGGCCCAAGAGCCAGTGCCTGAATGAGGCAAGGCCGCCTGGGTGTAGCAGTGTAGAACCATTCAGTGTTGCTCGTCGACCTCGATTAAAAGAGCATGGGCACCTTGCGCCATTTGCCAAATCTCTAGACTTGAGCCGAATGCTCAACAACTCAACTTTTTCATTGCGCTGCATGAGCAATGCATGAATGTATAGCGCAGCTTGCAATACGTCCTTCCCTCACCCTTTCCCCTTCGCTCTCTCACCCCGCCTCCTCCTCATCCGAGGCGTCCTGAAGCTTTCCCTGAGCAGTCGGGCTCTTCAGGAGGACAAGAAGGAGGAGGAGGAGGAGGAGGAGGAGGAGGAGGAGGAGGGGGAGGAGGCAACGTGGGAGCTGGATGACGGGGGGGGAGGATCAGGGAGATGCGGATCTCTTGCGGGGGGGCGGGGTGGGCGTGGGGTGGGGGGTGGCGGAGCGGGGTAGCAACAAGGCATGACCAGTGCTCATCCTGCTCGCTGCTGCTCCTCCTGCCATCTTCCTGCTCCTTCACGTTATTTCCCCTCAGCCGTCCTGTGGCACCACCTCCTTGAGGAAGTAGTATGTGTGGCCAGAGGCCAGACCTAGCAGATCCGTCCATATGCTGCCTCCCATCAGGACCTGGAACAGGAGCATGAAGAACGGGAACTGGTATCCCTTGATGGAGAAGCCAAAGAAGCTGAGCATCGCGTATGGCTCTCGACGGCTCCAATAGTACATGATGGCGAATATCAGCGGGGGGCCCAGCATCGGGAAACCGGTCGGCCATGCCATCACCAGCGAGGACACATCTAAAAGCAGAATCTGCACGATCAGGAAGAAGATGTAGTCCCCAGGCATGTTGAATATCTCGTTATGCTCCAGCTTCGAGGAGAATGACGAGAAGAAATACATCTGGATCATAAAATTCATGCTAAACGTGCCACAGAAACAGACTGAGGTCAACAACCTCCAGACCTGCAGCTTGTTGATGACAAGCGGCCAATCGAGAAAGAACCGCCACCGCGCTTGCGCGATTGTGGAGTAGTGGAGTGGTTGTCTGCTGTCTTGACGGTCTTTAAAATTGTTTCTCAAGCCGCCGCCCCCGTGTCGCGAGTGAGTTCTGAACATCCTCCTGCTATAACTGGTCTCTGACTTCCTTTTCGGCCTCCAAGCGGCTCAACTAAACCGAACGACCGCCCAAAACCGGTTGCAAGACGCATCGACACCATGCACCACTGGCTCAGCGACCCTCCCCATACTCTAAGATCTCCCCAACATGCCAAGCGAGTATCCACGAAGCCTGTGCTAGACGCCCAAAGAGGCCTCCAGCAAAGCCCTAGATGGCGAAACACATGGGCACAACACAGAAACCTTTTGCTGGTGCTTTCGAAGCATTTTGCCCTAGATCGCCGCGGGAGAGCTTCGGACAGCCTCAGGAAGTCCCCAGTACGGCCCGAAGAGCGCCCCAGGACAGCCCCAACACTGCTCGAGAGCTCCCCAAGACCCAAGACGGCCCAAGAGAGCTCCTACCCGCCTTGACGTTCCCAAAGTGAGCGCTTTTTTAATTCGGCGTTTCGACATTGGGCGGAGGGGGGGGGAGGGGGGGGCGGGTCTGGCCTTGGACTTCTGCTTACTGCGACTATCTGAAACAGTGCGTCCTATGAGGGGAGACTCCACCTGCTCGACACAGGCGCCCAAAACAGCCAAGATCTACTCCATGGGGGGGGGGGAGGGGGGTGCGAGGGCCCGCGTCGATCGGCAAAATTAACAAACGAACACAAACTGGTTCAACCAAGGCTCTTGAGGAAGAAACTCCGTGGGACCACTGTGCCCAAGACGGCCCCGAGACCCTCGACGGGCCCCCGACGAGCGCCCAGGAGGCTCCCAAGAGGGCCCCGCGCGGGCCCACGGGCCCCCAAGAGGCCCCCATGATGCCAGGAAGAGAGGGGTGACGAAGCTCTAGACAGCGATCAAGGGACGCGCAACAGTATAGCAGAAACGTTTCCGTCTCTAGGCGTTCTGGGACAAGCGTCCACGATGGCGGCAAAAGGAGCTAGACCCGTTCTTCGCCCGCTAAGTAAGATGTTAGCCAGCTTGGACTCCAAACAGTGTGCTCTAGCACGCTATGTGGTGCAATCTACGTGGTGTATGTGGTGTACTATGCGTGGTGCAATCAATGTTGTGCAAACTATATAACGTGCCAATCTATATGGTGAGATATTTGCGGTGCAATCTATGTGGTCCGATCTATGGGGTGTGGGCTAGGTCGTGCAACATCTGTGATGCAGTCTACGTGGTGCAATTTACTTGCCGAACTTGAAGTTGTTAACTCCACCGCTCGCGCAATCATCCCACCCACCCACCCGCAACTTGGTTTGCAAAATCTCTTAAGACCGTGACGGTGGGTACCAAATGGCACTTGGCAACGACAGCGACGCCGACGACGACAACGACAACGACGACGACGACGCCGCCGACAACGACTACGACGACACCGACGACGTCTCCAACGACTTCGACGACGCCGACAACGACGACGACGACGACGATGACACCGACGACGATGACACCGACGACGACGCCGACGCCGACGCCGACGACGACGACGATGACAACGACGACGACGATGACGACACCGAGGACGACGACAACGACGACACCGACGACGACGACGACGTCAACGACGCCGACGACGACGCCGGCGGCGACGACGACAACGCCGACGTCGACGACGACGCCGACGCCGACGACGACGACGAAGACGACGACGACGTCGCCAACGAAGACGACGACGAGGGAGGAGGGAGGACGACGACGGCGACAACGGCGACAACGACGACAACGACGAGGGAGGAGGGAGGACGGCGACGACGCGAACGACGAAGAAGGAGGAAGGACGGCGACGCCGACGACGACAACGACGAGGGAGGAGGGAAGACGACGACGACGACGACGACGCGACGAAATAGGAGGGACGACGACGAGACGCCGACGACGGACGACGACGACGGACGAGGGAGGAGGAGGAAGGACGACCACGGCGACAACGACGACGGAAACGACCACGACGCCAAAGAGGACGACGACGACGAACACGAGGAAAGACAGAGGACGACGTAGGCGACGACGACGACGACGCGGGAGGAGGGAGGACGGCGACGACGACGACGACGACGAAGAGCGCGCGCGCACGCTTTTGTTGAAAATCCGTGTTGCGAAACCTTGTGTTTTTGTATGTTTTTTGGACACACGATTTTGAAATCCTTCCGACACCGATGGGCTTTGAAGGATTTCGGCATACGCGCGCGACCACGCGCGCGTCTGCACTTCGTCCCATTTTTTGCAGAGGATTCTCGCGACGGCACACGCGCAGGGGCGTTCGACAGATTTCGACATGCGCGCGAAGCCCGTCTGGTAGCATTTGGTGGACATCTTGAAAAACCCATGGTTTTCTTAAGATTTCGCAAGAGCTCGCGCGTAAGCTTTTTTAGCAAATCAGTGTTGCGAAACCCTGTGTTCTTGTATGTTTTTTGGGAACCCGAGTGTGACATCCTTCCGACACCGAGGGTTTTTGAAGGATTTCGGCATGCGCGCGCGACGACGCGACGCGCGCGTGTGCACTTCGTCCCATTTTTTGCAAGGGACTCGTGAAAACGTGTTATGTTAGAACAACAAATGTCACCGCGTAGTGTTTTTTACAAGGGAACTTCAAGGGGGGGAAGCCTGGTTGGCCTGGGACATTGTGATTTCATGTTTTGGATGGACATGTGGTCATAATCATACGTGATTTACATAGGACGTGGGGGGTGATAACGCCGGGGGGGGGGGGGGTAGAGTCTATATTTTTTTTAGAAGGGAGAATATACGTAGTGCGATCTACATGGTGCCGTATGTGTGGTGCAAGCTATGCGGTGCAAGCTCTGTGGTGCGCAATGCGTGAAACAACGCATGTTTTGTACAATATGTGTGTGTGGTGTGGGCGACGTGGTGTAAGCCACGTAGTGCTTCGTGGTGTAAGATAGGTAATGCTAGACCTGTGTGGTGCGACCTATGTGTTGTAAATGACTACCCTGCACCGCGCTTGACCACTCCACTGCTCGCGCAAACACCCCACCCACCCACCCGCAACTTGGTTCGCAAAATCTCTTAAGACCGTGACGGTGGGTACCAAATGGCACTTGGCAACGACAGCGACGCCGACGACGACAGCGACAACGACGACGACGACGCCGCCGACAACGACTACGACGACACCGACGACGTCTCCAACGACTTCGACGACGACGACGACGACACCGACGACGACGACGACGCCGACGCCGACGATGACAACGACGACGACGATGACGACACCGACGACGACGACAACGACGACGCTGACGACGACGACGACGTCAACGACGCCGACGACGACGACGACGACGACGCCGACAGCGACGACGAAGACGACGACGCCGACGCCGACGACGACGACGAAGCCGACGACAACGTCGCCAACGAAGACGACGACGAGGGAGGAGGGAGGACGACGACGGCGACAACGGCGACAACGACGACAACGACGAGGGAGGAGGGAGGACGGCGACGACGCGAACGACGAAGAAGGAGGAAGGATGGCGACGCCGACGACGGCAACGACGAGGGAGGAGGGAAGACGACGACGACGACAACGACGACGACGACGACGGCGACGAAATAGGAGGGACGACGACGAGACGCCGACGACGGACGACGACGACGACGAGGAGGAGGAGGAAGGACGACCACGGCGACAACGACGACGGAAACGACCACGACGCCAAAGAGGACGACGACGACGAACACGAGGGAAGACAGAGGACGACGTAGGCGACGACGACGACGACAACGACGCGGGAGGAGGGAGGACGGCGACGACGACGACGACGACGCAAGAGCGCGCGCGCACGCTTTTGTTGAAAATCCGTGTTGCGAAACCTGGGGTTTTTGTAGGTTTTTTGGACGCGCGATTTCGAAATCCTTCCGAAACCGATGGGTTTTGAAGGATTTCGGCGTACGCGCGCGACCACGCGTCTGCACCTCGTCCAATTTTTTGCAAAGGATTCTCGCGACGGCACACGCGCAGGGGCGTTCGACAGATTTCGACATGCGCGCGCGAAGCCCGTCTGGTAGCATTTGGTGGACATCTTGAAAAACCCATGGTTTTCTTAAGATTTCGCAAGAGCTCGCGCGTAAGCTTTTTTAGCAATTCAGTGTTGCGACACCCTGTGTTTTTGTATGTTTTTTGGAAACTCGATTGCGAAATCCTTCCGGCACCGAAGGTTTTTGAAGGATTTCGGCATGCGCGCGCGACGACGCGCGCGTGCGCACTTCGTCTCATTTTTTGTAAGGGATTCGTGAAAAAGTGTTATGCTAGAACAAAAAATGTCATCGCATAATGTTTTTTTACAAGGGACCCTCAGGGGGAGGGAAACCCGGCCTGCCTGGGATGGTATGATTTCATATTTAGGATGGACGAGTGTGCAGAATATATATATATATATATATATGAAACTATACTATCCCAGGGGAAAGCGTTAAGTCCGGGGGGGGGTAGAGTCTATTCTCTTTTTAGAAAAGAGTATCTACGTGATGCAATCTATGTGGTGCCAATGGCTACACTGCACCGCGCGCGACCACCTCCCATGATCGTGCAAACACCCCACCCACCCACCCGCAACCTGGCTGGCAACACCTGACCAGGCAAAGAGGACGATGACAAAAACGACGTCGATCCATGCGCCGGCGATTGCGATGACTGCTTGGCCATAGCTGGCGCATCTCTGTGGCCGCGCTGGCGCGCGCGAACTCGCGCGCAGAGCAGCCCGCTGGTTTGGCACAGCCGATGCGGCCGCGATTGCGCTTACCCATGGCGGCTTCCCTGCGCGTGTCCAAGGCCGCGCTGGCGCGCG